AGAACTAATGTTAAATATTATTAAGTACCACAATTTCGGCAGAATGGCATCGTTAAATGAAACCGAACATATCGAAATTAATTAAATCAGATTGTTTAAGTGATATTTTCAAAAGTCAATAACACGGAAACGGTTGATTTGAGGTACATTGAGTATTTCGATTTTTGCTTAGAATTGAAGGAAGAACGGAAATATGCAATAATATACAGGGGGTTCCGTTTAAAAAATGAAACTTTTATGTGCCATGACTTTATGACCGACCCTGTATACTTAAATTTATTACCTGCTATTAGATATTTATAAACCCTATAACTTCTATATTTACCTTTGTACCTCCAATATTTTACCGAATAATCGACCGTTTCCATACATAACAGCGACCCTGTATATCTTGGCAAGTTTTAGTGTTGTGAGATAATTCAAGTAGGTATATCTATTTAATTTTCTAATATATCTAAGTCTTGTAAAAATCTAGTGCATGGAACTAATTTGAAAGAAGAATTTTTGGATTTTGAATGAGGCACATTAGAGACCGACCGATTAATCGGCTTCGGCATTGGCTTCGGTCACCTTCGCCAATTATTTAAGCCTTCGGCTAAAATTACTCTTCGGCAAAAGTCAAGCCGAAATTTTTGCCGGAGATGAAAATATCAATAACAAATAAAAAATGTCAATGACGGACGACTCGTCATCAAGTGTCGACGACCCAAACAGATGAAAGGTATAATTACTTTAATGACAAATATGCAGATTGCCTAGATTCGTATTTACGAGAACCTTTGCTTATATGAAATGGTGACATTTTTCACTATTGGAATTGAAGCCCGTACATTGCCTAAAAAGCCTGCAGCCAAAAAGTTTTTATCGTCTCCACCAACAAGTGTGGCTAGTGAACAATAATTATATAGCTTTGCTGGTCAACTTTACGCTGATCGAAGAGCTAATTTATTATGACGGAAGGCAGATAAGCTACTCTTTCTGAATTATAATATTAGGCTGCTCAATTTTGAGCTTTAAGATTTTATTTTGCCATATACATTTTAGAATATTTCTTACGTTTATTATTAGAATTTGAAATATCTTGTTTTTTTATTCAGGGTCCGGCAATTGGGCTTCGGGCATCTGTAGCCACTATAATAAAAAACTTAGGAATTTTGCAAACTTAAAGTATGTATTATACAATTATGTGTGTTTCAAGAAAATATTTTAACTTTTACAGGATGGCTCAAAAAAGTGTAAGTGGACCGGAATATATTTTTTTACGTGAAACACCCTATATATTATTACATATTTGACTTCCTTTCTGATCTCTTTACATAACCCTAAGATAGTATTATAGGCCAATAAACGTAGCCGAGTATTATATGTAAAGGTGGAAAAAATTAGTAACCAATCAATCTCAACGGGTATGTGTAGATAATAATCTCCTATTTAACCCCTCAAAAGTCCCATTTGGTCCCAGTGGGGAAGTTTGTAAAAAACCGGCGCCATCTTGGATTTTTTCGTTTTTTTTTAAATATCTATATATATATATATATATATATATATATATATATATATATATGTGCGTGGAATTAATTTCTAATTTCAAAGTAAATTTTTATCAAAAGCCATCAATATTTTCTATATATATACCATTATAAGCATATATATATGAAATAATACTGCGTGTATCTGCAGGAACCACCGTTAAAAATTTTGAAATACTCTAAATACAAAAAATGTTCATCTTTAAACTCTCCATTTAATAAAAAAATAATATACAAGTGTTCCATTTAAAAAAACAAAGAAAAATTATTTTATATTTTAGAAAGTTTGGCGTTGAATATTGAACATCCTGTATGATTTACGATTACCATATTTATAGCAAAGTAAGAACAAACCATCTATAATAAATACCTCATATAGTTTTGATTTCAGAACAGTTCTTGTATTTTTAATAATTTTTTTAAGAAGGGCTGAAAAATATAAATTTTTGATTTATTTTTTAATATCTCTGAAACTATGGAAATATATTTATTCATATCTTAGGGTTATGTAAAGTGATCTGAAAGGCAGCCAAAAATGCAATAATATACAGGGTGTTTCATTTAAAAAAAATCATCCAGGTACACTCACAGTTTTTTGAGCCACCCTATAGAAGTTAAAATATTTTCCTGAAATACATCCTGGTACATACTTTAGGTTTGCACTTAAACAAAATTCTCAAGTTTTTTATTCTAGGAGCTACAGATGCCCGACGCACTATTGCCGGACCCTGTATATAGTATAAGTCGGTTCAGAACGTTCTACGACGTTTTCCGACACCTAACCTCCACTCTTCTCTATTTAGCCAGAGATCATCAGGTATTTCTCTATTTTCTAGTTCTTTATCCACACCCTTCTTCGTCGCTTCGTCGCGGCCCTCCTCTTTTATTTCTGCCTCGAGGTGTCCACAGTAAAATTTGTTTTGGTATTATGTGATCGGGCATTCGTTGTACATGACCAAACCATATGAGTTGTTTTGTTCTTATGTCGTCCACAATTATGTGTTTTGCTCCCGTAATCTCTCTTACTCTGTCGTTGGTTATTTGTTCTCTTTTCGATTTTCCAGCAGATCTCCTCCAGTAATCCATTTCGGTCGCTAATAGCATCTCTGTTCTGCTTTTCAACTGCCATACTTCGCTTCCGTAAGTTATTATGCTTTTCACTACCGTATTATATATGTTCTTCTTATTAGCTTTAGAGATTCCTTGATCCCACAGTACACCATTCAACATAGATATTGCCCTCCTATATTGCATTATTCGATCTTTTATACCTTCATCGAGTTTTCCATCGTTAGTTATTTTTAATTCAAGATATTTATATTTGTCACAGTTTTTATCACGTTTCCATCCTCTAAGACTATGTCCTCTTGTGGCCCCCCTACAGCCATACATTCAGTTTTGGTGATATTTACCTCCAACCCCCATTTCTTATACTCCTCTATCAGCTTCCTTGCCATATATTCAAGGTCTCACGACGACCTTGGGCTAGGACTATCTGGTCATCTGCAAAATATAGGGTGTATAGGGTGTCCTCATTTATTAGGGGGGTCCACATTCTCCTACACTTAAGCATCCATTTTTTTAGTGCTTGTTGCAGGTATATTTTGAATAGTATAGGAGATAGGCAACATCCCTGCTTTTAGCCTTTTATAATTTTTATGCTTTCTGACAATGAGTCTCGTATTTTTATTCTAGCTGTGGTGTTCTGGTATACGTTCTTAACTACTTTAAGTAGGTTGACATTTATATTAGTTATTTCCAACATTTCCCACAATTTATTTAATGGTATGCTGTCATAAGCCTTTTGCAGGTCTATATATATAGTAAGTGTACCTCTTGATCTTTTGCCGTTTTTTTCACTAAGACCTGTATTATGGTAAACAGATGATCCACAGTAGACCTTCCCGCTCTAAAACCCGCCTGTTCTTCTATTTCTATCTCTTTATATTCATTTTCTCTTTTTTTCTTTAGTATACACTTTAGTCCATATATTTTACTTAATGTACTTGTCACTGCCAAACTTGTATAGTTTACAGAGTCTTCTCGATTTCCTTTTATTAAAAATCGTCGTGATATATGAGGTTTTAAAATCTTTTGGTACTTCTGCGCCATCTATGCACATCTAGAAGAGTTTTGTTATATGTCGGTACAGATTTTCCGTCCCATATTTTATTAGTTCTCCTGGTATATCTCCCGGGCCTGTGGATTTACTATTTTTAAAATTTTTACATGTCTCCCTTACTTCTTTAGTTGTTATTCTGAGGGGAGGTGTGGCTACTGTTATCCTTTCTTGTGTTTCTCTACCTGTCTCAAAATATGTTCTGTTCTCGGTAAGTAATGTTTTAAAATACGATTCCCATTTGTCCATTGTTATTGTCGATATTATATCCTTATTTGGTTTTGTCTTAATTGTTTTATCATTTTCCAGCTTTCAGTACTTTTTCTTCCACCCAGATAAGTATTGATATTCATACATTTTCGTTCCCAAGCTTTATTTTTCTTCTGTGTTATTTTGCGTCTGACTATTGCTTGTATTTTTTTATATTCTACTTTATCATTGTCACTATTTGTATTTAAAAATTGTTGATATTTTTGTCTTTTTTCAGTTATAATACTTTCTATATCTGGATCCCATCAATATGGTTTTTTACTTTTAGTATATTCATAAGGTCCCAAGGCCTCCGGCGCAGCTGAGTGTATACTGTTTTTAATGTGTTCGTGATATATTTCGGGGTCTTCGAATCTTATATCTATTAATTTCTCATCTAGGCGTTTTCTGTATAGTTCTTTTGTACTCTAATTGTCAAAGCTATCTATGTTATATCTCTTTTGATGTTCTTTGTTGCTTTTTTGTTCTTCTTTTTCTTCATATTTACATCGGTTCTTCTCGGTTTGTGTACTATTGTAGCTTTGAGTAGATTATGATCACTACCACACGTGGCTGACCTATACACTCTTACATCTTGTACTTTTAATTTGGAGTCTTTTCTAATGATATTATAGTCAATTATAGATCTTAATCCCCTTGTATTTTGTATCCATGTATATTTGTGTATATCTCGATGTTGGTAGAATCCATTCATTATTTTTAAGTAATTCTGTTCGCATAATGGTACGTACACGTTGGCGCGCTGCGCCGCTATTAGTACGTGTTTTCAAGTTGCGCGCGGTCCGCGCGCAAACAGCTAGCGGCAAACCATTTCCAGTCGGTTTTTCGACGCTCCGCTTTGTTTGTTCGTTGTTCAGTTGGGACGGCCGGTGAAGACACCGCGCGCATTTATCAGTGACTATGTGTATTTTCTTTGAATAAATTCCCTTTTTTGTGTTTTTCTTTGAATATTGTTTATTAATGGAGTGTTTAAAGAGTCGCACTACTCATGATTAAAATTGCGTAGTTCTTCTCGGACGATAGAGACATGATTAACGACTAGACGAAGGTTCGCGGGATTTCTATGGATCGCGGGATGTTCGTTAAAACAATAAATGTAACGCGCAGACAACACTCGGCGCGCGCGCTGCGCGTTCGCGGCGCAACGCACCAATGTACACGTACCATAAGGTTATTAGACGATTTCCGTTGTTATTTTTTGTATCTTTTCTATAGGGTCCTACAACTTGGCTATCTGTACTCTTACCAAGTCTGCAGTTCAAGTCTCCTAGTATAATGATTTCTCTAGTCTTTCCCACTTTTGTTATTTCGTTATTCAGATCTTCGAAAAACTTCTCTTTAACATTTACTAAAGAGTCATCGTTTATACCATATACCCCAAAGATAGTTATTCTATTTTCACGTACAGTCATATTTATCTTAATGGTTCGTTCACTGATAGCTTCCCATGAATGCACATGTTTTCTAAGGTTTCTTTTTATAAGTACAGATACTCCTTGTTGTGCTCTTCGGTCTTTAGATACACTGTAGAAAGGGTCATATTGGCCCATGCTTTCCGATCCTTGTCCTTTTTTCTTTGTCTCTGTGATTACCGCGACGTCTAGTTTTAGATTTTTACTTTCTATCATTACTTCATTTATTTTCCTAGTGAGGCCCTGTACATTCGATGTTCCATAACTCATTGTCCTTTTCCGTTGCTTAAGTCTGCTTTGTTTTTTCCGTCCAGTTCCGAGGCTTGGTTAGGTTTTTTAGCACTTCTAGCTTTTACGGGTTATAGGGAGCTAGACTATAGCCCCAACCCTCCTCCTTTATCCGGGCTTGGGACCGGCAATGACATCCTTAGAGCTACTCAATTCACTCCTTAGAGACCACAGGCGGAGTTTTTTTCAATTTTAAAAAATATTAAAATATCTCCGTTTGCATAACTTTTGTCGAAAAAACTAAAAATATGTTTTCTGTAGAGAATTAAATTTGGAATATTTTACCTTTCATAATTTTTTTTTCTAAAATATATAGTAATAGAGATAGAGCAATTTTTTACTATACGTTTGATAACTTTTCCAGTATAGAGTTATTATAGATAGTATAAATTTAAGCATTAAAACAATTAAAAGTAACGTTTAAATATTGTTTACTGAATAAAATTATTGTTAAAAAAATTATTATTAAATTAAAATTATTAAATAAAATCTGATCATCACTGACCACACTTTGAAGAACACTTAAAACCAAGTTTTCTGTAAGAGCAATTTTTAGAGCACTGGCTCTCTTTGCAGATGCAAAAGATTAATTTTAGTAGGTCAGGGGGCGCCACATCTTCTGTTGATTGAATAGGTGTCAGATTCCCTTTTCGGTCTTTCTTCCATCCATATTGTAAAGGATCTAACTTTTTACCAATCCATTCTTGAATCTAAAAAGTAAAACATAACATTTTCTATAATAGATATAATATCTTTACAGTTACCTGAAAGTATGTCCTGAGTAAATGGAGTTTTGCAGAGTTTTCAGTTGGAAGCAAATTAGCTAAACTAAAAGTAGTCTTAAGGGCTTGTCTTGCTGCAATCCTATTATAGAGTGTACCTCAAATGGTTAATATGTTTAATATAGCTTAGCTAGCGATATAGCTTTAAAAGATAATTTAGTCCTGACTGAAACAAACTGTCATCTTAGTTAGCATTTTTTTCTAAAAATACGTCGAGGAATTGACAAAGATCTTTTTTCGGTACCGACAGGCAATTTTTTTTTTATTTTTTAAGTAAAAAGGAGGCAGTATCACAGCCCGATATAGCATGTAAAAACAACATGTGTTTTTTTAAATGTGCCATTTTGTCTTGTACCTCAGATATTTTGGATATTTTATCACCTTTTGCTGCTTTTCCTGGACGAAGCATGGATATATTTTTTATGTTTTGAATGGTATATAAGTAAAACCATAATAGCGATATCCTCTGAGACAACTGTTGTATGTTTTTTGACATAGATAATTCCACAGCTGTTGAGGCGATAAGAAAATCAGCATCCCTTGCCGCTACGTATACAGGTATACCTACATCTTCGAAATAGGTTCGAAGGATCTTTATAAATTATATTTCAGGTAATTGTAAAGATATATTTATTATAGAAAATGTAATAAGGTGTACTCTTTAGATTCAAGAGTGGTTGGTAACAAGTTAGATCCTTTACAATATGGATGGAAGAAAGATCAAAAAGGCAATCTGACACCTATTCAATCAACAGAAGATGTGGCGCCTCCTGACCTACTAAAATTAATTTTTTGCAATTGCAAAGAGAGTCAGTGTACTAAAAAGTGCTCTTGTAGAAAACTGGGTCTTAAATGTTCTTCAAAGTGTGGTCGGTGCTACGGAATCAGTTGCACAAACTTTTGTATACGTTTTAGTTGAGGACGAAAATGACGCTCAGTATGACGTCATAGCAGATTTTATTTAATAATTTTAATTTAATAATATTTTTTTTAACAATAATTTTATTTAATAAATAATATTTAAACGTTATTTTTAATTGTTTTAATGCTTTAATTTATACTTGGTTTATCTATATTAATACTATACTGTTAACGTAAAAATTATAGCTGATTGATTTAAAAAAAACTGGAAAATTTATAAAACGTATAGTAAAAAATTGTTCTATCTCTATTACTATTGATTTTAGAAAAAAAAATGATTGAAGTTAAAATATTCTAAACTCGGTGTAAACTTAAAGTACGCACGAGGATGTATTTCAGGAAAATATTTTATATTATATTATATTTAGGTTTTAAAGAACATAGCATAAATAAACATAACATACCTACGTAAAAATTAAAAATAATCATACAGAAAGTTTGGAGCTTTTTGGTTTTACCTTATGAAGTAATTGTTATGAGGTAGTAATTAGATAGTAAAACAGAACGTCAACGGTTTTTGTAGACGTTCATCATTTAGGATGTTCAATATTCTATGCCAAACTTTCTAAAATATAAAATATATTTTTTTATTTTTTTTAAAGGAACACCCTGTATATCATTTTTTATTAGATGGACAGTTCAAAAATGAACATTTTCTGTAATTAAAGTATTTCAAAATTATTAATAGTTTTGCAGATACACGCACTATTATTTCATATTGCGATTTCAATGGTAAAATACGCCAGAAAAATCATTGGGTGACTCTGATAAAAATTTTCTGTGGAAAAGCCATATGAAATATACAACAGCGAATATCTGAGAAAACCGTTAAAATTTTGAAATACTCTTAAGTACAAAAAATGTCTATTTTTTAATTCCCCATCTACTGAAAAAATAATATACAGGGTGTTACATTTAAAAAAAAACGAAGAGTCACTACTCATGATTAAAATTGCGTAGTTCTTCTCGGACGATAGAGACATGATTAACGACTAGACGAAGGTTCGCGGGATGTTCGTTAAAACAATAAAAGTAACGCGCAGACAACACTCGGCGCGCGCGCTGCGCGTTCGCGGCGCAGCGCACCGATGTACACGTACCATAAGGTTATTAGACGATTTCCGTTGTATTATAATATATTGTTACGGATTCCGTGGGTCCACTATTTAAACTCACGATAAAATACTTAACGAATTTATTTGTTTCACTCTGTACACACAACTTATACTATTTACAACACAACTTATGCAACTACTATTACTCTAACGGTATTTCGCGGTATTATCAAACTTCAGACTATCTTCAGACTTGTCCAACTGTCAAAGCGCGGGCCTTATATATCCCCTGGCGATTGTTTCTAGATTTTTCTAAAGAATTCTATAATTTTCTTTTACTTTCTGGCGAATGTGCCAGGTTCCTCAATGCACGTTGCGATTATTTAGCAGTATGCAGTTATGCAACCAGTAATACACCTTCACATTGCCCCCTTCTCAAATTTGATCGTCCCGATCAAGGTTTCCTGTCTGGTATCTCTTCAATCGATCCAGATGAACTACTTTCATCTTACTTCTAGGGCTGCGTTGAATCCGGTACACATCATTTATACTCTTGATGACTGTATAAGGACCTTCCCATGCTGGAGTTAACTTTGGGGACCTTCCTTTCTTGCGCTGTGGGTTATACAACCATACCCTATCGTCCTGTTGAAATCCCGTAGAATTAGCTCTGAGGTCGTAACGAGCTTTCATCCGGTCACTGGCTAACGTAATCTTACTTCTCACGGCCTTATGAACTCCCAATAATCTTTCCTTCCTAACGAGTCTTTCGAACGACAGTCCAACGTTATCTTGTTCCATTTTTCCTCCAGATAGAGTACTTGGTCCTTGTCTAGCTGCGCAAATCTTACAACGTTGACACCATTTCTTAACATCTTCACAATAATCCACCCAGTAAAAACGGTCTCTCAGCTTGCTCAGGGTCTTGTTTACCCCAAGATGGGCTCGTTTTACCACCATGAATTTCTTCCAATACCTGGGTAACTTTCTTCCTTGGTACCAGTAACTGAGTTGTTACTGTCCTGCCATCCGCACTTTCCCACGTGCGCTTTAACAATCCATTCTCAATCACCAGTGAATTCCACTGAGCCCAGAGAGCTTTGAAAACCAGCCCTCTGTCCGCAATATCCTGCCACGGTGGTCTCTCGCCGTTACCTTCCTTGAGCCGTAGTATTGCTCCGATGTCTGGATCTTCCATTTGATCTTTCCTCAATTGTATCGTCGTCCATGGTTCGTCAGTTCTAAGCTTAAAATTCCTTATTCTGATAGTGCTTTCGCGATGTTTCATTTTCTTGTCCAAGGTAGCTCGTCGTCGATCTAGGTCGTTGTCGATAATTTGTACCCGTCCTACACGGCACCCAGTTTCTCTAGTTTCCCGAACACAGTCTTCTTGGTATCACCAGGTATCATCACAATTTTCGATGATCTTTCTTCCATATTTCCTGGTCTCTTCTCTTTAGATACAGAAAATTCCTCATTTCCGATTTTCAGGATGTTTCTATGGTGATCAAACGAAAAACCATGTTGACTGATCACATCCATACCCATGATAAAAATCATCTTCAATGTCTGCCACTAAAACGCTATGCCGAAACTTCAAATTCCCCTAACTCCAATTCCATGAAAGCCTCTCCCGTACAACGGCCACTTCCCCGTAACTGTACGTAAATACACTCTTCTTCTAAGAGGCATCATCTTCAATCCTTGCACTGAGTTAGTCCGCACCAACGATACCATAGCGCCTGTGTCCACAGTCATTCGAATTCTTCTACCATTGACCTTCCGTTGATCACCAAACTGTCAGCGGTTTTCCTAGACTCTAACGGAAAACATCCTAGGGGCTCTGTTTTCTTCAGCCAATACTCGCTCATTAGTGTTGATTTCCTGGTGCCTATGTTCTCTCGATGGTAAACGGAATCGCATTTGGACGCAGCAATCCGTTTTGACGTGGCCATTCCTGCCACATCTATAGCAACTTATGTCCTGGGATCTTCCGATGTGCCGATGTTCTCTGGATAGTGAATGGAATCGCATTTGGATGCGACAATCCCGTTGATGTGGCCATTCCTGCCGCATCCATAGCACCTCATATCCTGGAATCTTCTTTGGTTCTCTGTCTGGGTGTTGTTGACTCCCTTGTTTATTAGTAGCTCACATAGTTTGTCGAATTTTCTACACATCTCCTCCAAACTTCTGTGGGTACTCTCGGGCTGTTCCTCTACCG